TTTCAACGTGAGTAGCTCCGGTTGCTGATCCATGAAGTGGTACAATCGGTCCCATCCCTTTTCGTGAAAAACAACCCAAAACATGCGGCTTGGGCTGTGTTTAACTGTGGCTGAAACACAAGAGAGTGACCATTCATCTTCTGGTTCTCTCCATACTCTGCTAGTACGACTTTGCTGAAATTGAGTAAAGATCGATTCATCACTCCATAATACTTTTTCCCAATCATTTTTTGTCCAACTTTCATGTTCTAAACACCATGCAAGTCGTGCCTCTTTATTTGCTGGTGAAATGAGAGGTTTTCGTCGTGCAACACAACTTCTTAGTCCAAGTGAATGAAGGGTGCGACGAATGGTAATTTCTGAAACATTCTGGCTTGTTTTTTTTTCCATAGTTCTTTTATTCCAGTAGCACATAATCGACGATTTTGTGCTTTTTCGTTTGTTACCAAACGTTTAAGCCGATTGCGATTCGTGATGTCGATCAGGTGCGGTCGTCCGGGATGAGGCTTAGAATCAATAGATCCAGTTTCGGCATGCCTTTTTAATGTATCATAAACTGTTGTTTTGCCACATCCAACAGTTTCTGCAATCTGATTATACGAATTGCCATTTTTACGAAACCACAATTTGTAAAAAAAAATAAAGTGAGAAAGAAAAAATGAAGTTAGAAATGTTTTTTAAGACAAATAAACAAAAACAATCCATATTTGTATAATAAACATTACCTTTTTTGTATAGCAATCGCGTTCCAAAAGTCGCGTTCGGAAACTTTTGATAACCCTCTGTATATTGATGTCTACCTACAAATCGATTAAAATTTTTTACAATATAATTGGAAAATATTATCCCCAGCGTCCGATACTTTGTCCTGTGCTTTAAAAATTCCATCATTTCCTCCAAGGACGGTATTATTATAATTCTCTAACATAGGTGTCCATACTTCAAGATTTATATCTCGCACAGTTAACAACTCCCTAGCGAGATCTACTCCTATGTCCTCTGCCAGATTCTCTATTGTTTATCCGAATGTAGATACAATGGAAATGTCTTGGACATATATATCACACGAACACCGTCAGGATGTCTTCTGTTTATGAAAATGATATATAGAAAGCATAAATTTGAGACTTACTGTTGAGGCTCCACTTTCTCAAATGGTCTCTTTTAGGAGTTTCCAACAATGATGATAGGTCCCGAAAAGTTTCCGGTGGAGTTATTGGTGCTCCTGAATTTACTGAAGCTCCTACAGGAGATAGATATTTTGGCGTAATGTCCCGAAAAACTTGCAGTGAATTCCTAAAGTTCTTGCAGGTAGCAGAGACTCTGACTGCAAATAAGCTTGAAAGGCATTGGTTTTTACATTAAGGAGCATTATGTTCGAAACAAATGTGAATAAATACAAATCAACTTACCTGAACTATGTTATTAAGAAAAGTTGATTGCTTATGCAATGTTTTGGCTGCAATGGAATTGAAAAAGACATTGTAACAATCATCTATTATTGCTTGTCCAGTATCGTGATAATTCGAGTTTTGTTTGTGTAAGGATTCATATGCTTCCTCATCAAAAAAAAAAAAAAAAAGCGATAATACTACACATTTATCCATTCGAGATAATCACAACAAAAAGCTCTGACTGGACCAGGCGTAGATACAAGTTGATTTATTAGAGCCAAATTATCAGTGAAAAGAGAAAAAGCCTGAAAGAAGTCAAGATCCGTTTCAGTCCCAATCATATATACATAGTAAGTAATTTTGAATACACCAAGCGGAGGCCTTTCTCTCCTTAAAATAATTATGACATTTTTTACAGTCTCACTGCAATGAAATTCAAAATGTTTGGTTGCTAAAAGTCGTGGCTCACAATACGCGATTTCCGATTTCTAAGATTATCTATGATTTATATATGGCATCTCATAGGAGGACTTTCATGTGATTGGTCGATTAGGTTACGTAATTGATATTACATGACACGTGATAATAAACATGATCAATAAAATTAGCTGCGCCATTCGAAGAAAATTTATTTCGATTTTATTAAATTAAAGGGCAAATTTAACCTAGACCTCGAGGTTTAGGTGATTTAAAATAGACCAGGGGAGTTCAGATTATCTTAAATAAACCAGGGAGGTTCATATTTTAATCTAGACCTTTGTGTAATCGCGTACAATTACGCAATCATGTACTTGCGCATTTATATTTTATTTTCCAATTATATCAACGCGTCGCGTAGTACTTTATTTTATTTTAGCAGGTTTCAAATTACGTTATACTTGGTAATAAATACTATTTTATTTGAAACTTATAATGTCCGAGTTTTCAACTCCCTTAATTTCAAACCTGTCCTATCAACCTCAAATAAATGATACATTTGAAAGTCATAAAGAATTTGTAGATAAAATCAAGAATTATGCATATGAACTTCGTTTTACAATTAGGCTTGGAAAAGTTGAATATAATGGTTCTAGAAAAACAAATTCTAAGGAATCTGAAGAGAATTCTTCAACAATTACTATAGAAAAAAAAATTAGAAAAAGAACATTATTATGCTCTTGAGCTGGTCATACTGAATCAAAAGATAATTCAGAAAGTGTAAATATAAACAGTAAAGGATGTGGAAAATCATCTCAACGTTGTGATTATACATGAAGTCGAAATAGATCATTTCGGACATCCGAAATGGTCAAAATGGTCAAAATCATTTTTTTTTTATGTTTTAATGATGCGGTACTGTCAGTACATTTTATTAATTTATACAAAAATACAATAATAGTAAAATCAAAAACTAACAAATAAATGACTAACTACCCCCCATAATTATATTGTAAGTCTGTTTGAGTCAATTGAGCATCACCATCCCCTCCAACAGACCCACTACATGCATGCATAATGACTACTGTCTTTCACAAGGAATAGAAATAAATCATGGTCAATACTACTTTATTATCTTCTTTTTAAAGTAAATCCCAAAAAACAAAAACAAAACGTAACCCTTTAACTAATAGTAACATATTTTCTGAAGAAGTAACTATAAAACCTGACCATCTACGCTTAAAAATTTACAAAAAGAAGCAACATAAGGGGACTCTACTAAGTTTCTAGCTAAGTTGTCTAGTCAATTCTGGATTATAGCGACCATCTAGCACAGGTGCGCCTATATCACTAAGTTCCAATAGAGGCTTTTCAGATTATCGCTTCCAATGTTAAGATGTCTATCAATTCAGATTACAGCTGACCACCGACACAGAATGAGGCTCAAATCACACAGTCGGTCAAGTCCAGAAAATACTGCATAGGATTCTGCAGTCAGTGATCTGTAAAAAAAGAGTATTTCCATTTATAAAGAAATAGGAATATCATTACGTAGATTTGTGTATCTAAAATATGTTGATTATGATTGTTGATTGGGATACCCCTTGATGCTCACTTTTATGGGCAAATAATTTTGAAAAAGAAAAAACGAGAAAAAATATATCAAAGAAAGGTGAAGAAAAATATTTTAACAAAAAACAACATGGTTTAGACTTTAACAGCAATCTTTATATAGATAGGGTTGGGAAAATAAAGAGAGAAATATTTTTGAAAATAGAGATTTTTTATTTTATTCGCAGGCTAAGCTGCGGCCGCTTTTAAATAGGTACTTTTTTAGAGTAAAAATTCTTGGATAAAATCTAACAAGGAAGAGAAAGAGTTGACTGGTTTAAATCATTTTTTTTTTAACGATGTTGCACTACCAATAACTTTATTTAATTTTTATAAGTGAAAAAACTCTCTCCCTTATTTTACAAAACCAAAATATTCATACAAAAAATAAAAAATTTAAAAGTTCATTTTTAATAAAAAATTAATTAATAAACCCAGTATAAAGAAGGTTTCTTTTATTTTACCCCACCTTCTTACTTACGCAAGAGAGTTATGACATGTAAAAGCACCATAAAACAAAAAACTAGTGACCCTAAGTTCATTTTATACTTCGCTCAAAAAGCTCCAAAGGAAGCTGTTATTTCTACTCCAGCTTCTTCGTCTTCTTCAACCTCAACTTCTATTCCCACCAACCTTAATTTAAAAATTATCCAATAAGTTTTTGGCTCATTACCAGAAAAAATTATGGAGTTTGAATTTTTTGACATTTCTAAAATTGCTACACTACCCTCGGAAAAGTATCCGGCCAAGCTCTTTTAAATTTTTTTAAGATTGGGTATATTAATCTATAAAAAATTTTTATTTAAATAAACCCCCTAATTTTGACGAATATGGTTATATGTTTATAATTGTGAAACAATGCATAGATCAGTTTCAAT